CTACACCTTTATGCTTCAGTAGTCTAAGTAATTAATACCTTTGCTAACTTTAAAATGTGTAAGATTCGGTCTCTCAAGGCGATATTAACGCCTTAGAATAATATACACGTAGGTAAATTCTAAGTATCGTGAAAATATCAAAGTAAATAAACGAAATGAGACTTTTAGTAAAGTTAGGTATGCCTCGTGAAAACAGCAATACTCTGAGGTATTGTGAGGTTGAGACATTGTCTATATATAATCCTCTCAGTACTGTTTCCGCCGAAGGGATTTTATTTAGTGTTTCGTTGTCGCTCTATTAGAAACTATGGTATGTTTCATTGGGGCGAATCTGAGAGACTAAAAAAATCCTATCTTTAGAAAAAAGAGAAAAAAAAATGAAAAATACTCTTGTTGTCCTTAGTTATTGTCTTAACCAATAACTTGCCACTTATCAAGAATTCCCGACTTAGCCTTCATCAGACTGGTACATCTGGTTGGCTGACCGGAGGATCAATTAGGTAACGTTAATAGTCCCTAGAAACCTATATTCGGTTGAGCCATCTCGCTACCGAAGTATTCAGAAATAAATAGATTTGGAAAGTAAATATAGTTCTATTAATAGAACTAGACCAACTCTTGTTTGGTATTTTACTGAGGCCTTTTATTGGCCTCGTCCAAATATCTGATATGTAAAATGGAAAAGGTATCAATTAATAAAACCATTAAAAACTATTTTAGGAAACTTAAGTTCCTCGTGCTATTAAGAGTACATTTAGGAAGCTCAAGTTCCTCGTACTATTAAGAGTACGTTTATAATTTATGCACTGCTTAAGAGTATGTTTATAACATAGAGTCTAATGTGGAGGCCCGGCTATTACATCTCGAGGATGTCGCTTGGAAGAACGGTGTTGTCATCAGCCCTAATGGTATGTGGTCGCCAGTGATTTGAAATATTTACGGGTATTGAGGTCGGCTAAATGGTGTTCTATGTATTGCTTGCTTGAGATAGTCTTGTAAATACTGAAGGTTGAGCTCTTGTCCACCGTATTGATGTTATATGTGTGACCGTAACGATCAGAATGAGTAGGCTACTGTTGTAAGTAAATGTTTATCCCCCAGGCAATAAACTGTATCAGTGGTGTTGTATTGTACCCTTTTTGCATGAAGATTAGCCTACATATATACAGATAGCGCAATGTATATCAAACCCGAGGTGTACTTGTGCGTGTAGAATAGAATAATCTTTTATATGAAAAACTGGTGTGTGTTCTTCGGGAAGATAAGGGTATGATCACTACCTTGTTGAGATTTGGTAATGTTGGCAAGCAATAAAGGATATGTATCAGTTTTGACTTTATTTAGTTAAGTGATTTTTTGAAATGAGTGTTTAAGTTGTTAACTGTCGCCCTTCCGCCGTATATGTGTAGTGGATTCCTGTTGCAATACAGTGTTAAGCACTTGATTGTATGTATCTGAGATTTACATGCTTTTGTGTGGTGCTGAAAGGAATCGTAAAGTAGACACAGGTATGAAAAACATGTTTTATTGGCTCTTTTGCTACAGTACATCGGCCCCTGCAATATTTATCAGACCAACAGACTTAACACTGGAATGAATTTGTGCTACCTAGATGTCAATGTCAAGGTCCATACTTATCACTTTCAGAGAATTTCCCATTTGTCAATGTAGAAACAGCGGGGTTAAAATTTTAATATAAATAGTCCGACAGGTGGATTGTTTGTTCTTGGTAGCTTTTCGGAAGGCCTGAAAGCATATATTTTTTGTAGAGAAACAAAAACTTTTGTTTATCAGCTTGACGAATCAGTACTTCACAGTAATATGGCATTGCGTTTAAGTAATGTATGTACATATGGTATGCCCCTCATAGCCGTAGTAATGGTTTGGGGAAGATCGATGGAAAGAAGTGGTCAGTAAATTCCCGGTTGAAGCTTGGGCCAAGTGAGTCAACGATGAAGGACATATGCAGGGTCAATTCAGGCCGGTGCTGACAAAAAACTGACACCATCGAGTGTGCGAAGTATTTGCTTGCTAACGGGCTATGTAGCGTACCCACCGTTGTGGTACGGATCGGGTATGCACCTTGTAGTGCCGTGAAATGGGTTAGTGCAGAGTATGAAATGCGGAGTAGAACCAAATTATTCCTTATTATTCTGTTGAGGAGCGAGGTTCGGAGTGAACCGATGCCGCACCAGGCTACAGATGCACTCGGTATGTGCTGGTTGGCCTGGATCTGAAGTATCATATGTGGAACCAACAGGCGCGATGACTTGGTTTGGACCGAAATTTGGAAGCAATGCTTCAATAGCGTGATTAGCTGGGTTATGAGGAACATCTGTTGATGTGTCAGAGACGGGTGTGGTTGCGGAGGTTGTTCTGCATGCTGGAGCGAGGATCCAAGGTGCTCGTGGAGGGTCCAGATACCGTGGAAGTCGTGACTCTCCTGTATTGCTGGAGGAGGTAGTAACCAAGTCATTATAATTAAAAAGGGACGGAGGTCGACAGTATACAGTATAGGTGGTGGCTATGTAAATAAATACAAGAACAAATCGGTCTTACAAGTGTCGAAGGGGTTTTCGGATACCGAGAAAGTTGTCCAGCTGTCCAGGCTCATAGGGATAATATTATTTATTTCAAAAAAGATAAGTTACAATGTATGCATGTTACTATGTATGAACATATGGTATGGCTCTCATAGTCGTTGTAGTGGTTCGGGAAAGATCGATGGGATGAAGTGGTAGTTATAATACATAATTTTTCAAAAAACAAACAAACACAACAACAGTTAAGCTATGATATTTTGATTGAATAAATTTATATATATATAAAAATAAATAAATAAATACATTTCTCCGAGTGTTATTTAGAGGGCTAAGCCCAAGCCTTCTGGAAATTGAAAAGTGAAAATTGAACATATCCCGTTCAGGAAAAGATAAAGAAGGAGACAGATCCAAAATCATCCAATCAGAATTCATTTGGCCATTTTGTCTTTGTCGCGATCCGCGAGAGAGTGTCAGTCAGAGAGATCGACAACAACAACAACAACATATAATATTTTATTGTACGTTTAATGCAAGTTGGACTTAAAGACGACTCAGCGTCTGTATCTACGAGGTAGACACGCACTCACCTTTCAAAACCACATACGTTTTGTATATATCTGTATCGGCAATATGGAAGACTTGAAGAGCCTAGTAGAGAGACTTGAAATCGCCGTAGCCAAGATGGAGTCCATGGGTGGCGCTGGAGGAGCACCAACGAGCGCCGCAGGGAATACAAGTGACGGCACAGACTCGGCATCGGTCACCGCCTTTGATGAGATTATAGCTAATCAGGTAAGTAGTACAGTGAAATCGCTGATCCATATCATTTTTTAATCAGACAGACACGCATGCGTATGTGCTTTCACTGACATCTATCTGAAGGTCAAGTAAACTCGATACAAATTTTTTGTAGCTTTACTTAAAAGTGGTTTGCGCACACATCGCACACATTCACGTACACACACACAGACACACACATATCTCAACAAACACACACACATAAACACACACGCCTACAAACATACACACACAAACATTCACACACATACACACACACCACACGCACACACACACACACACACACATACACACACACACTACACACGCACGCACACACA